TGTTGATTTTATATCCTGCCACTTTGCTGAATTCATTTATTAGCTCTAATAGTTTCTTTGTAGAACTTTTTGGGTCTGCTAGATATAGAATCATGTCAACTGCAAATAGTGATAATTTAAGTTCTTCTTTTCCTATTTTTATGCCTTTAATTTCTTTCGTCTGTCTAATTGCTCTGGCCAGCGTTTCGAGAACTATGTTGAACAGAAGTGGTGAGAGAGGGTATCCCTGTCTTGTTCCAGATTTTAGAGGGAATGCCTTCAATTTTTCTCCATTCAGAATGATGCTAGCCTGAGGCTTAGCATAGATTGCTTTTACAATATTGAGGTATGTTCCTGTTATCCCTAGTTTTTCTAGAGTTTTGAACATTAAGGGATGCTGTACTTTGTCGAATGCTTTTTCCGCATCTATCGATATGATCATATGGTTCTTATTTTTAAGTCTATTGATGTGGTGAATAACATTTATTGATTTCCGTATATTGAACCAGCCTTGCATCCCAGGGATGAATCCTACTTGATCATGGTGCACAATTTTTTTTTGATATGTTTTTGTATCCGATTCGCCAGAATTTTATTGAGGATTTTTGCATCTAGGTTCATTAGAGATATTGGTCTGTAGTTTTCTTTCTTTGAAGTGTCTTTGTCTGGTTTAGGTATCAGGGTGATGTTGGCCTCCTAGAATGAATTTGGAAGTTCTCCCTCTTTTTCTATTTCAAAATTTTCACAAACTGTTCCAGAAGAGGAACCATTTCCCAATTGATTTTTATGGAGCCAACATCACCCTAATACTCAACCTAGATTAAAAAAACCTTGTAAGAAAACAAGATACCAGTAGTCCTTATGACATCATATATGCAAAAATAAAAATTTAACAGAATGTAGCAAGGAAGATAAAATAGAAGGAAGATCCTGTGTGAGCCTAACAGGAAGCCCAGAAGATAAGAATTAAAAGAATGGAGGTTATATTCAAAGATAATGACTGTGGGGAGCCGGATTTGGAGCGCTTGGCAGCGGGGGCGGAGGAGGCGGCGGCACGTTGGAGCCTAGGTGGCCTGGGACGCTCCTCCCAGTGAGGGCCCCGGCCGGCCTCCGCCTGGAGCTCCCTCGCCCGGCTGCCACTTCCGGCGGTTCCTCTGGGACGCGCTCACCTGGGACGCGTTATGTGCCTGGGGGCCCCTGGGCTCCAGGATGAAGGACCGGCTGGAGCAGCTGAAGGCAAAGCAGCTGACACAGGATGATGATGCCGATGAGGTGGAGATGGCTATTGACAACACAGAGATGGAGGAGACTGGGCTCAACGTGGACAAGATCTCAGAGCATGTGGAGGAAGCAAAGAAACTCTACAGTATCATTCTGTCTGCACCAATTCCAGAGCCAAAACCCAAGGATGACCTGGAGCAGCTCACAACCGAGATCAAGAAAAGGGCCAACAATGTCCTCAACAAACTAAAGAGCCTGGAGAGGCACATTGAAGAAGATGAAGTCCGCTCATCAGGAGACCTTCGGATTCGGAAATCTCAGCACTCCGTCCTCTCTGGGAAGTTTGTGGAGGTGATGACCAACTACAATGAGGCTCAGGTGGACTTTCGTGAACGCAGCAAAGGGCGAATCCAGCGGCAGCTTGAAATTACTGGCAAAAAGACAACCGATGAGGAGCTGGAGGAGATGCTAGAGAGTGGCAACCCTGCCATCTTCACTTCTGGGATCATCGACTTGCAGATTTCCAAGCAAGCCCTCAGTGAGATCGAGGGTCGGCATACGGACATTGTGAGGCTGGAGAGCAGCATTAAAGAACTTCATGACATGTTTATGGACATCGCCATGCTGGTGGAGAACCAGGGCGTGATGTTAGATAACATAGAGTTGAATGTCATGCACACAGTGGACCATGTGGAGAAGGCAGGAGACGAAACTAAAAGAGCTGTGAAATATCAGGGTCAGGCCCGAAAGAAATTGATAATTATCATTGTGATAGTAGTTGTGTTGCTGAGCATTTTAGCATTGATTATTGGACTTTCCGTTGGGCTGTAATGAGTGGCCTGCGGGGCTGTTGCACTGAAATAACCTGATTTCACTCCAGCCTGGTGGGACCACCTTTATCTTCAGATGGGAATGGAGTCTGAATGGCCTTCCTGAGAGCCAAGGGAACCCGTTCCTTTGTTTCCTTGTAACCATCCTTGGACCTGAATCAGCAATCAATCTAGCCCTGGAGGAATCTAACCTACCTGATGCAACCCCAAGTTCTCCTCAAAACCAACTCCTGCCCCAGCAACTGAAGTACCTTTCCTCCTGGACCATATGAACTGACCCAGATTTTTCCCTCCTGTGGTGTGTCAAATTATGCCTTGTACCTTGGAAATCCCATGTGAGACTATCCTAAGGTGCTGCATCTTCTACCTCATGGAGTATACTCCCAGAAATTACAGTGTATTTTTCTAGGGGAGTATCTTTAAGAAAGCAGGTGGATTCTTCTAAATTTGGCAACAATAGGGTTGAGATGGGAGACTTCTGCATGGCAGGATGCCAGTCCTGTCGGTCCTGAAAACATGAGTGACTGGCAGATGCCATTTTGGTCCCAAAAGTTGACTTGCTTGAAATTCAACTTCAAATTAAGCTTTTAATAAGATCAACCTGGGGGCCAGTTTGGTCTTTCTCTAGATTGTGTTCTCATGTTTACTCAAAGAGGGACCAAGATGATAGTCATCTGAGGTTGCCATTTTCAAAGGCTAAGGATTTGGAATATTTGTTTCCCTATGAATTTTGGAAACTGGCTTTTCACCTTTGGAGTGACTCTTTGTGAAGCTGTTGCCCTGAGGCCAAAATTAACCAGGGATTTAAAATTGGGCTGGGGACAAGGTGCTAGAGTCTCAGACTCTGAAAAGGTTTCATGAGGCTGAGTGTTCAGTCACTCATGTGTTCAGGTGTATTTTTAAAAGTGTGTATGTGAGATGCATGTACATATATGTGTCTGTTTCTCAGGAAATAGCAAAATAGAAAAGAAAGACACTATGACCTCAAAAATTAAAAAAAAACTTTTTTGAGCTAGACTAAATATTAGATGAGTTGCTTTTGTTTACCTGCAAATGAATCATTGTAGAAATATGATCATCTTATGTCATCAACAAAGTTGTTTTCTAGACGAGAACTGGGAGAATCAAATGAGATATTCAGACTGAGGACTGAGTTGATTTCTGGTTTCTGTGCAGCAGGTACAGGTGTAATGGTTTGACACCTCTCCCTATCCGCTGCCTCCACTGGGCTTTCCCTGAGAACATCCCACAGCAATCCACATGACCTATGGGATGTCCTGTTTTAGGTGGAGTTAGTTGGAGAGACCCGAGACTACCTGCTACTGGGTGAATGAGCTTGACAGGTTCTTTGTTTTCCCCAGTTCTTGTCACAGAGGAAGCAACAGCCAGGAAATTTTCGTGTAGTGACTGCTAAGCTGTAGGTAGCCTCTTAGATCCCTGTCAGTCTCCCTGATTTTGGGTACTAGCTGTATTTCAGCTTTGACAGTAATGCTTTCTAAGGCAGAGAAAGCACCCTGATCCAGGCACTGCCTATTAGCTTCCTGTGCAAAGGCTCCTCACTTCTCACTACCCAGCACTCAGACAGAGCCACAGGGATGCCCTTCTCCCCATGGCTACTGCTGCAGTCCGGCTGCAGCAAAATAACCGGGGGGTGACGAACAAC